TTCTTTAGGTTAAAGCTTATGCTACAAAACAATTAGGCAGGTCATTGCTATTCTTCGCGAAAAAGAACAGCACAACTATTTCTACAGAATGATTCATCGTTAAAATTGAATAAGCATTCAAGACCCACTCACTGGTATATCCAATAGTAAAAATCTGCTTCGAGTATCTTCTTGTCAGTGCGAGCAAAGAAGTTTTTTGAGTGTTGGTCAGAATTTAATAAGTTACTCTCTTTCTTACAGGCATAGTGCAAAAATTTCCAGAGAGTTCATTACCTATATATAAACCTGTATATAGAAAGAGACAACAAACATGAAAATTTTTGTTACAACAGCAATGTGATCCCGTCAAAGATAGTACTAGGATCCTCTCGTTAAAAGTCTTCAATTCCGTTGAATAAATCTCAGAATGTTAAGGATATTATGCACACACTCATATTCTGAGATTCGTTCAACGTAAAGTGAAGTTACAAGAGTCATGTGATTAATCCCTTACCTTAAGGAATTCCAACATTAATGTTCTGGTATAGGTACTTTTCAAGCGATTTAAACCTTTTTTATCTAGCACGCTACTTCAAAATAGAGCTGGTTTTTGTGGCAGAATATCATCTGGCATAAATATATTTGAGCAATTTATTTTTTCATAAATACGACATGCTCCTTACTCTTCAACCAAGAATTGCGAAAATGGATTCTTATTTTATTAAGGATATAATAGAGTTCTTTTATTTAAAGGGATTTTGCAAAATGAAGCTGAATTTCCCTTAGCATTGAAGTAATTTTCGCAGCAGGACACATCTGGCATAAATATTTGAGAGTTTGCCGCGCTCTAATCGCAAATTTCGAAAGTTGGCGCGAAATTTTGCTATTCAAAGATTGACGGTTAGTTTTGAAAAAATAGGGCTTCTACCTTCTATAAGTCTTTATTAGAGTAATCACCGCAATAATTTTGGAGCATAGTTACTTCATTCTTATTTTTGTCATTATAGGGGAAGCTGGTTTACCTCCAAGTCTTAGCTCATCTCAATGCTTAATATCAATTTTCCCGTTATTTCA